GAAATGTGTTGGCAAAGTTTTGACTTTCTTCTCTTTTTGTTTTTTCAGTCCCTATTGGCAGTCGAGTGGGCTAGGTACGTAGTTTGTGCGGAAAAACCAAGACAGTCGAGTGGGCTAAGTACGTAGTTTGTGGGAAAAATCTCCAATTCTCCGAACTTTCATAGCGTCGTATACACATCCTTGGTGCCCAATGATAGTTTCAATATAAAAATATACTCATGATATGGTGCCATGGCCTCTATTTCCATCTTACATGAGCAATGATAAAATATAATCTGCTTTTATAGCGTCGTATAAATTATCTGACCGCAAATAAACTAATACCTTATGAAAACTACATCTATACTAATCTGATACCTTTCAAAAACTACGTACCCCACTTGTTATCTAACAATTGTTTTCAAATCATATTTGTGCTATAAGACCCGAGCCAGCAAACTAATGATCGACCGTGTTTATCTTATTTTGGTTTTTTGTTTCATTTCAATTGATTCTACTTCATATACTACAGTGGCCCTATTGTAAGAGGGGTTCTAGCCCTGCAATTTATTTCGCTTTCTCTTTATGACTATTTCTTTCCAATCTCACAATAATTTCAATATTTATGTTTTCAGTGCCAGAGGAAGTTATTACTTGACAACAAATGATCGCTCACCTTATGCCAAACGATGATATGATCCACATTGAGGAACATTACCTACTTATGTTATATGTATATCTTCAAATAACTATTGGAAAATTATGAAGTGAATAAATATATTGTAAAATCTGTGTATTTATCAATAAGAAATTCTTAGATGATACCAAAAATTACATTTCATGACACGTCAAAGAAACACTGGATTGTAGCGATTACGAAATATATTGGAAAGATATCCTATATGTATAAGCAGGATCCACCATGAATGAATTATCCTCCACTAATTGAAAGACTTGGAGCTTGAACGCCTCACATGATTTTCATTATTGTTTCATGAGTGATTCTATAGAGACCCACAACCCCAGGTAGCGAGTTAGTGAAATGACGTCATGATGACCCACGATTGTAGAGAGACCTAAAAAATGGCGTCATGTTTCATATTGACCTCGATAACTGGAGGTCATAAAGATGGTCTGACACAGTTATTTTTTGTCATTCGTAAACTGAACTTATGGAGCTCATCTGATGATAAGGAATATAAATGATCTCATCTCTCGAGTGTATGGAAGCATAAATTTCAATCTCACTCCAATATTTATTGATTCACACATAAGGACACGATTGGGGAATCTAGTCTATAGTGGTATTACTGGATGTATTCACAAGTTTGAAATATAGGTATGGGGCATACGTATCAAATACACAGATAGAAGTTACCTAAGAATACGTCATAACAACGTCGTTTTCTCGTCCAACATTCTCCCATCCGTAAGAGAATAGTTATCCCAAATTTTCCCGAACAAATGGATAGGTCATATAGGACCAATAGAATGGACAGCACTTTTGCCGGACCTTGCACTCAATAATGTCTTTCTACGGAGCCATTCGAAATCCCTCATCCAGGGGCGGCGAGTGCATGGGGGCATCGGGGCCAATGCACCCATGTAGGCAGTGGGTATGGGTGCAATGCACCCATTGGCCGAAACAGACGTATAAAAAACAAATTAGATACGGGCGAAATGACCACTTGTAAATATTGCACATTGTTGCTGGACAAGTATAGGTAAACAACCATGCGAACCGTATATTCGATTCATGTGCATCCAGGGTTTGACACTGTGCACTGTGCAAAGATATTCCGATTTAAATTTTAGACATTATGACATCACAGGTCACAAGTGCCAGTTTGAAAAAAAAATTGAAGTGGCTAATGAATCCATTGATAATACAGTCAGTAGGAATACCTTTGCAATAAATTAACTGGGGTTACTTGCTAATTTTTGCGAATCCCAAAGTTTCTCTATTCCATTTTTTGAATACTGAATAGATATGAGAATTATAAAATTTTATTTTATTTTTGTAGAGATTGAATTTTTTAATATCGTTTCAAATTTTGAACTATGTTCACTTTTTTCAATGGTGAAAAAAAAATTCTTCTATTTCTCATCCTCATCCTCATCCAACCATAAACTCGAAACCCGATTAGTCACAAAAGATTGTATTTTGGTAGAGGTGTTTCACACTTGATGCAAAATAAATAATGCTTTGATCTATCTTGAAATTTGAAGGCATTTGACCTTGAACCATGAAAAATTTTCGCCTGCGGCGCATAATTTTTTCTTACCCTGACCCCTCAATTTTGGCACCCATTGGACAAAACAAAACTCGCCGCCCCTGCCCTCATCTATATGAAACGAAACCCACTGACCTGAATGATTTGGAAAAAAAGAATAAGGGATTGAATGCCAGATGAACATCTTCAAATGTGGAAGAAAAATTTGCAAATATACCACTGTCAAGTGCCAACGAAGGTGATTTCGAACATTTATTCATAGACAATTGAAACCATATAATTTGAACTGAATATTTCGAGAACGCCTTGTTGGAATCAGGAAAACTTTGAACTACTAGTGTCAGAATTGACTGACTATAGCAAGGGTGTATAATATACGACCCTTTTACCCTATTGGAATTATTGGGTGGTTTGCTCTGGGTTTGCGTCAAATGGTGTTCTCCTGCAAATAAAAATTGACGTGTTTCGTTATTTTGTGTGACATTTTCCTTCTCAGAGGTATCGAGGGTAGTTAGTTCTAAATGGACCACCTGCGGTTTAAAAAAAATCTGCTGATGCCTCTGAATCTAATGAACTCAATCTGATTCTTTTTGCTGGTCCACATTCCTATAGGTATTGATTTGTGAGCTATTTTGTCTTCACCTCAAACATTACATGGGATCGCTTTGAGACACTAATTCAACTGGGAAATATAAGAAAGTCACACTCATATGGGTTGCAGGGCATGAAGGAATTAAAGATGAGGTAGGTCAACACCTTGCAAGAAGGTTCAGAGTCTGCATTCTTTGGTCCTGAGCCTTATTGTGGATCAAGCAAATGTCACCTTATGGCAGAGCTCAGGAAATGGAAAGAGATCAAATAAGCCTCCTACTGGAGAGCAACTCCTGGTCAACGACAAGCGGAAGGGTGCATCGACCATTTGCAAAACCGAGCCAAATACGTACTCAGCCTCAGAGAGCCAGAGCTGCAGCACTATCACAGGCTTTCCTCACAAAACACAACCCTCTGAGGTATCACCGACCGAAACCGCAGAACACTCACCTTTCTGAAATAATATGTTAGACAAAGGCTGAATCACCTTGATCAGGTCTATCCGAAAAATTCGAGGTTTCATTGAGATCTAGGGTTGAAGGACTTATATATAAGATGAAGTATTTGAAATAGATCTCCAATACCGCAGTGATCGAGAGGTCTCTCAAGTAATACGGCCCACCTACAATCTAAAATCTATCTGCAACTGGATATCTTTTCCATATGATTTGATGGGAGACCTCGATTCAAACTTGAGAGCTCGTCAGCTCGAGGTGATCAGAGCCTGGAAAGGAATACAGACGCTGTGCCAAATGCGTTCTAGTTAGCACAGTGACGTCCAAATGACATCCTAATTCGGTCACAAAACTATTCGATTAACGTCTTACATTGATGGAGAAGAAGATATCATAGCAAAAGTCCAAAGGGCACGAAAATAAAAAGTATATTCATCAGTTCCTCCAAACCTGACCTCATATTCCGGTGGCGCGGTTTGGTGAACAATAACTAATGTAAACCCCCATTGTATTTTATCTTAACATTTTGTCTATGTTTCGTGCGCTCTATTTTGTGACATATTCGGCCGATTTTGGTATTGATGGAAAGTTAATTAGCCTCACTAATTTCGGTATCAAAATATAAAAAAGAAAATAGAGGGAACAGAAATGGACCCTGTTTTTGTGGTGAGGACCGAGTATCAATTTCTCCAATTGCTGAAAGTAATAGTGTGTTAATAGTATATTGTTCAACGAGCACGGAATTTTGCAGCATGAACCATAGGCGAATGCTGCAATCATTCGAGTAGGAAATTAGCATTCTGTGCAAGTTATACACCATAATTTTTCTAAGGGCAGAGCAGAGCTGTCATTGCTTGAAATTTGACACTCCATGGTCGATGAGCTTTTTTCAAAATAATAACACGATGGATTATGATATCAGATACGGAAATAAAGATGATGACATACAGAGTACCTCATCGATGTATCGAACACAGTAAAACGAAAACAATCTTGTGTTATAGCCGAAGAAAGAATAATTTTCCAGGCCTGAAATAAAAATACCAGACCCTGGTTCTGCCAGAGATTTTCTTTGGTTTTCGTGAAAAATCTATCTTCAAGCATCGGCTTGAAGAACAGTCAATATCAAACACAACCAGTATCTCAGGCAAAGCCTAGGGTTTGTGATCACATCCTGCATTCTCTTGGTCCCCTAGCAAGGTCTGATCAATAACAATGACCACTGGTTCACTGGCACCTACTGAGCCTTCCACCAGTGTTGCTATTTAGGCTTCCTTACAAACTACTCAGTTTGTAGTAGTTGGTCTCTATCCGAAAAGCATCAAAGTAAAGACACCAGAAATGAATGCCTCTTACAAAATGATGAAATGAGAAGGTTCAAGGACCGAGCCCTGTGAAAGAAGATCTTGTGATACAATCGAATGTATTATATTTATCACACATAGGAATGATGTAATCTCATGGTATTCGTTATCGCCATATTATGATCAAGTTTGGACCAAGCGCTCATTTTTACTAATTCAAGTGATGATAATGATCGAACATTATTTTGCAATAAATCGAAATATTCACTATTATATTTGGCACTTGTCATCTGAAATGATGGGGTTAATTAATAATCACAGATAAACTATGAATTATCGCTGAATGATAAGTACCACTAATATATAAGGTATCCTCAGCAACAATACTAATTGATTCCAATTCCTGTTAGTTTCTGTTGCTCAGCAGAGAATTCAAGATGATGGTATTGATTAACTTTTTAGTGCTGGTATGGGTCTCATGTGATATTATATCATCGAGTGCAATTCCAGGTGAGAAAATTTGAAATATCGGAATCATTCCTTCGATATTCATCCAATCATTCAATCGTCAGTCAAGTTCATGCTGAAATCTGGTCAACACATGGCAGAATGGGACAACATCAAAATCAAATCAAAATCAAAGAATCCGCTTGCAATCTTATGAACGGCAACAATATCGCTTGTTCTTCACAAGATCAATTGATTAAAATACGAAAAATGTTGAAAGTGACCACTGGCAACATTGACCTCAGGTGTTCGAGTGTCAACCATTTTGCATCTATCTATCTTTCAAATATGTTGAAGTTTCCTAACATGAATCGATAATAGTATTTTTCCTAACAAGTGCGGAAAGTGATTCTTTCCCGCACGTGACTGCCGTTGACACGAACGACGCGAAGCGGAGTTCGGGCAAGCAGTCGAGTGCGGGAAAGAAACTTTCCGCATGAGTTAGGAACAATATTTTTTCTACAAGCGTATGGGAAATTGGTCGAATCGTTCAATTAATTATTCAAGCAAATAGGAACAACTAACAAGAGATATACAATATTCTCTATTTATTAATTATTAGTAATAGCTATTGATCTATGGCTATTGTGAACTTACAGTTTGACGCATTATGTTGGTTCATTGCGGAAGCCAGCAGGCCCATTAGGAGTTTGGTCTCTAGGTTCCAGACACTTCTATGAAATGAGCCAAAAATACATATTCTTCATTCGGTTTTTTCATTTCTTTATTGTTGCACCATTCAATAAAACGCGTGTATAGCTTCTCATACCTTTCTTAAGACTTCGTTGGTGATAACGCATCTGTATCAAATCCCTATAGCTATATAGAAGTTTTTGATCACATTGTGGCATTTCCACTGAATCGAAAATGACAGTAACGCTGTGTCTGTCACTTCGACAAATTTCAAACTTATTTGAGGTTTGATTGGCATGACAAATTGACGTTTTCCGTCAGATCAATCCAAATCTATAGGGGGATTTTTATAATAATCCATTTTCATTTCTCAATATTTCTTAATTTTTACAATAAATAGTGCAATTTGATGGATGATTCTGTACATACATACTTAATACTGCAACAAACAAACTCAAACTTTTATATTCCATCACCAACCACTTATATTACTAGCGATTTTATCATATCTTTGTTTTCCCGCACTAGTGCGGGAAAAAATTTCCCGCACTAGTGTGGGAAAATGACAATTCCCAAACTAAATTGCGTGCGGGTATAGGGTGAATCACGCACGCTTGTAGAAAATAGTAATTTTCCTAACAAGTGCGGAAAGTGATTCTTTCCCGCACGTGACTGCCGTTGACACGAACGACGCGAAGCGGAGTTCGGGCAAGCAGTCGAGTGCGGGAAAGACACTTTCCGCATGAGTTAGGAACAATATTTTTTCTACAAGCGTAGGAAATTGATTGAATCGTTCAATTAATTATTCAAGAAAATAGGAACAACTAACAAGAGATATATATTCTCTATCTATTAATTATTAGTAATAGCTATTGTGAACTTACAGTTTGACGCATTATGTTGGTTCATTGATGCGGAAGCCAGCAGGCCCATTAGGAGTTTGGTCTCTAGGTTCCAGACACTTCTATGGAATGAGCCAAAAATACCTATTCTTCATTCGGTTTTTTCATTTCTTTATTGTTGCACCATTCAATTAAACGCGTGTATAGCTTCTCATACCTTTCTTAAGACTTCGTTGGTGATATTAACGCATCTGTATCAAATCCCTATAGCTAGAAGTTTTTGATCACATTGTGGCATTTCCACTAAATCGAAAATGACAGTAACGCTGTGTCTGTCACTTCGACAATTTCAAACTTATTTGAGGTTTGATTGGCATGACAAATTGACGTTTCCCGTCAGATCAATCCAAATCTATAGGGGGATTTTTATAATAATCCATTTTTATTTCTCAATATTTCGTAATTTTTACAATAAATAGTGCAATTTGATGGATGATTCTGAACATACATACTTAATACTGCAACAAACAATCTTGAACTCTTATATTTCATCACCAACCACTTATATTACTAGCGATTATATCATATCTTTGTTTTCCCGCACTAGTGCGGGAAAAAATTTCCCGCACTAGTGTGGGAAAATTTTCCCGTACTGTTGCGGGAAAATGACACTTCCCAAACTAAATTGCGTGCGGGTATAGGGTGAATCACGCACGCTTGTAGAAAAACAAACTTACACACCGTATCTTGGAAACAATGCCTACTTTTATGGAAACTTTTTATGATAAATTGATCTGTGGAATCACCACCTTGAATATTGCCACGTCTTTTTTAAACACCTCCTCCAAATCACGTATTTTGTAAATTTTTGGACGTTCTAGGGCGTGTTCAGATTCTGTATGAAAAATTGAATTTGATCTGTTCCAGATGAAGTATTGTCCTATTTTGGTTTTTACATATCGAGTACCTCTAATATATCTGAATTTATTACTTATTCTGTAAAATTAATTAAAACAGAGCGTGCCAAAATATCATGAAAATCATTAGCGTATGTAATTAACTAAAGAATAATAATAAGAAAAGGTAATCACGATGATGAAGGTAATCATGATAATAAATAGGTGTCCGAATATTTCTCAGTAGGTGATGAAATGTTTCAGTAGATTAGTAAATTCATATTCAAATCAGGAGATCTATTGAACATACTGTTGAACTGGCAACCCTGCAGTAGACAGAAAGTGTTTGCGGACGAAAAGTACTTGCCTTCGGAAATAGTCGGTGTTTTGTTCGGAAATTAGAACGTGAAATATGATTGTTTGTAGAGGTCGACAAAAAACCAATTCTCATGCATTTATCAATCGTTCGGAATCATCAATTCCCGATGCAAGTCCAAATATTATTGGTGACGCCACTGCATGCAAACACACTTGGAAAATTGTGTAGGACATCCCAGGCAACCATATGACGTTCCAGTGACGTCTTTTTTACGTCACTTGAATGACCAAGGTGACGTCAGTAGTTGACGTCGCATTGACGTGATGATGACGTGAATAAGTCACAGCCCAATGACGTCATATTACTCACGTCGTATTGACGTCATTCACTCACCAAACTGTGACGTCCGACTGACGTCATAATGACGTCAAAATGACGATTGAATTTGGCGATGATATGTGAGAAAAGATTTGTTTTACATGTTGTGATAAACACCACTAGCCTCTGATGACATTATATAATATTGATTATGCATTTTTGAGTCTGCTTGGTGGGTCCCTCCTGTGTCATGTTCATTCAATCGCCTATTCAGCAGCGCCATCCTTCAGTACGCATCTCCATCAGAATGCAATCAGTTACTCGTATTTGTATAAAAAATTATGCAGTTTGTGCCGGCGAGATGTAAGCAAGCAAAGAATAGTTTGATAGCAATGGAAAGGATGTTGGCGAATTTGGCTTCACTTTGTCGAATAATTGCATTCTTTGTCACCCAACAAAAATCTAAATAGCGAATTATTGAAAAATTTCCTAAATGACGAAGCTCACCAAATTGGTAAGTCACACCGACGTGATTTTTAGACGTCATAGATACGTCACTGCAACGTCATGAGAGTAACGGTTTCAATGTGGGTATACCCAAACAATCATTTTTATATATACATAGCTTGTTGGTTTCCGAGATATACAGTGTGTCAAAGTTTTTTAGAAAACATTTTTTCTACTACTTCTCGGGTATATTGATAATTAGAATAAAACTTGCACATTGATTTGCTTTCATGAGTTATACTTCTGATTCACATGATAATATATAAGTATCCATGGTTTAGAGAAGGTCTGAGAAAAATGGACGTCGACAAGCCGTCCCTGCAACGTCATGAAACTGACGTCTTCTTCTACCCATCTAAGTAACGTCCACTCGACGTCGAAATGATGACGTGATTATCACGTCATAGTGACGTCATAAATTGGTGTGTGACGTCTCTGACGAAAAATCACCAATTAGGGACGTCACAGTGACGTGATCATTCGTCATCTGGTTGCCTGGGATGTTGGAAACCCAAAATTATCATGACTTGAGAGATGCATACATCAGAAAAACGTTGCACAAAATCTGTCAATAATGGCCAGTTTATTAGTTCCAGGTACGAAGCTCAGCATCACTGCAGGATTCACGGACAACGACCTTCTGAACGCTGTACATGATGATGACATCAAAATATTTTTCTTCGGCAAAAACTCATCCGAAGGTGTCCAACTTAACATAACAGATGAGAAGGCCGTGCAAAATACGTCATTTTCGACAACCAAGCAAACGTTTTTCGTGACCCATGGATGGAATAATGACAAGACCAGTAAAATGCCCAGATTAATAAGAAAGGCATTGTTGGAAAACTACGATGTGAATGTGTTCATCGTAGACTGGAGCAGTCATTCCAAATCACTTTATTCCCAGGCTTTCCTCGTTATAGAATCTATGGGAAAATTATTGGCATCAAAAATTTCTGCTTTACAAAACAATACTGGTTTAGAATTGGGGAAGACTGCACTAATTGGACATTCGCTTGGATCCCATATTTCTGGAGTAGCAGGTTCTGCCTTGGATGGTAAAATCGACTATATCCTAGGTATGTACTATAGCTATTCATCATACAAGGGAAAAAGTAGTAGATTCTAGCTTCAGTGGAGGGAAACAAAAAACCGTGAGCTAAAATCTAATATTTTTCCCGTGTATAATACACTATTTTTTTCTGTGACAGGAGGAAGGACGAATCAATATTGAGAAGATATTACATTATTTTGAAATCTGAGAATTATCGACGTGTAATTTCAAGTTTTCAACAGTAGAGACACATGCGTTGTAGGCATCTTTATCATTCTTTTGAAGTAATCAAATATCTGATGTCACTTCTGTCAGTATAATTCTGTGATTTGATGTGAAAAAGTTGCGAATTTAGTGGTTGTTTAGTACGTGACCGCGAAGTCGAATGGAAGATAAAAGGAGGCAGTTCTTTCTCGGAGACAGTATTATTGACCCATTTTTCGGAACTATAGCACAACAAAAGCCATCAACAGTGTATATATTATATGTGATATATATATCCGGGAAAAAAGTACTCACTTTTTTCCCAAGAAAAGTTCGACATATAAAGAGAAATGATAGATGAAGAAAGACTTTCCTCGCTAATGCAACGTAAAATATTGGATCATATTCTCCCGAAATCAATGCATCGATTCGTATAAACGAATACCCAATTAACATTATCAGTTTTATTGTTAGCTACAGGATGTTGTTACAACCTTTATAAAAGCTGTCACAGCTTCTTTGTGAGCTTGTAGGGAATTTATTGTAGTATGCCTCAAAGCAATTATGGAACCTATCGAAAATGCTTCCTTCAAAGCCTTTTAGTACGAGTTCAAACCTATATGCTTCGAAACGACAGTTCTTATGCCAACATTGAAACACATATTGGCTACAATTGAAACCTTATCAGTTGCAGTAAGCATAAGATAGTCCGTAACGTGTTATATGGGAGTCTTTCTCCACAACGAACTATAATACGAACATGTATGATGATATGATAATTCTTGCGTAATATGCTTCTTACATCACATTATACGTAATATACTATCACCAGTTAGGATTGGATGTTGATTTCGATAACTTTTCAAAAAAGTTGGCAAAACTGCATGAATATTTGCTGAATATGGGTGAGTCGTTTGAAAAATGTAGAAAAACAACATTTCCGACGGCAGCATCAATGAACCTTTTTTATTTTCCTCTTGAAATCTTCATTTCCATCAATGACCGACATCTGTTCGTAGGAAATATGGCGCAACATATACTCAAAACCAATTTTGTTCCTCTATAATGCTTCATTAGAACCTTAAGGCATTTTTTGAGACGATTGCCTCCTGTTGAAGTACTCATTGCATATTCAAATACATTGTCATGACTATTTGTTCCTGGGTATGACAACAAAGCTTCGGAAATGATAAGATTGATATAAGAAGGATATAAGATAATGCCTTCATGAAACTATGAAGCTTGAAGAATAATAGATGCTCATTGGGCAGTGTGGCAAAAAGTAGAAGAACGTCATCAACATAATCAACATAACCCTACTTTTGTTATTTACAGTGTTCAGTTCGTGAATTTTGTGATTGGTTTTAAGTAGGAAACCGAGTAGGAAACATATAAAAACTACACTCAGAAAAATACATGATTTCCTGATGAAAATTAAATCTTTCAGTGCCGTTTGCCTGATATTGTGTTGAATGCTCCATTCTCTTATAAATTCTTGCAAAACTCGCCATCTGACATAATTTGTGCAAAACTGTTGTCATCTTCCTCGCTTCCTAGTTTCCATTCAGATAAACCAGAAGTATTTCTCATTACGATCTGACTCATTGATGGTACTTCATGAACATCAGGTCCTAATGAATTCTTGCTATTTGGTGGTTTCAGTTGGGACGAATTGAAAGACGCAATGTTTGGCATTGCTAAGGCTTGAGAATTCTACTTGATTTTTTATTCTCAATCAATTTTCTTCATATTTTTGCTTGAAGTTGCCATTTATCTTAGTTTGACACAATTTTCAGTTTCATTTCAACGTGAGTCGTTGTACGAAAAAAATACGAACATTTATATCATAGGATTTGGGTTTAATACAGTTCTGAGGAGAACTTGATAAATCATATAGATTTCATGATTGACTTCGATGAATTCATTGTGGCTTATAGGTTTTAATAACTACTTTCACATAGCTAAAATAATGAGATTAGGTTCCAATATTGCCTCAGTTGAATACTAATTGGCCTAGCCCAAATTTGGTTTTATGTTTGCTTCATGGGGTATTTTCATAGGATTCATTCAAAACCTCTTGGTCAAATTCGAGACAATAGTGAAACTCAAGTTTTTCAACAGGGTTGATGAGAGTAACTGGTTTTGATAAAAAATTTCAATGACTTTCACAGAGATCTCTCAGAACCGAAGTGAGCTGAATGCCAAATTGTTTCAAGCGATAGTTCTATCATGGTATCTCAAAACCTTTTAATATGATCATATGGACATGACGGCCAATTTACTTTTCCAGGGCATTCATAAAACAGTAGAACAAATGAGACCTATCATTTGCGCTAATATAACCTCTTTAAAGTCTCATCGGAGCTATTGGGCATTTCAAATGTTACTTGGGTATTGATGCAAGTGTCTCTTTCCTTGAGGTCGATTATTTTGAGATTATAGCCAGATCAATACTTGATACCAACAGACCGGTTTGTAGTTGTCAAACGTTCACCTGGCTACAATCTGGAAACAATTGGCTTCGGCTTAGGAAATATGGGAGGAAAAGTTGCCACAACTACCTATAGCGTACCACTATTATAGTCCTCGTGATTCCATAAATACGGAGATAGAAATCATAAAATCACTAGGGCAGTCAACTGTCGAGCGTTGATGGTCGAATTCTGAAACAACGTGGCATCAAGTTCGCAGATTGTTCATACTGATATTCGAAATGAATATTCCTCCAGTCTCAACCCATATATTGGTTCAATATTCAACCAACTTCGGGCTCACAGTTTGTGGATTTGGGCTCAACAGTAATTTTTTCAGGTATGGATCCAGCAGGACCTCTCTTTTTGTACGACGACGTCTCTAACAGAATCTCACCAGCCAGTGCACAATTTGTCCAGATAATGCACACCTGCGGGTCTATCCTTGGCTTCAGCAAGCCTCTTGGAATGGCAGATTATTACCCCAATGGGGGTATGAGTCAGCATGGTTGTGGATTGGATGTTACTGGTAGCTGTTCTCACAGTCGATCGTATTACTACTACGTCGAATCTTTGAAATCCGGGCAGTTTGTAGCTCAAAAATGCGAGAGTTATGATGATTTCAAGAAGGACAAATGTTTTGGTAGTCCATCTATCATGGGAGGATACAACATAGATAGAAGGTCAGTACGTTAATTCCACCGTTTCTTGTTACCTGAAGAAACTAATACACTATGGTAAAATTTTTTTATGCTGCCTGACCTCAGACATCGAGACTCTATCTTGTAACAACTCCGGTATTTCTTCAATATTTTCAATGAAATACCCAGTGGAGTGAAGTCTATTTCATGGCTTAGAGCAGCTCATCAAGAAACCCACACGAATTCCGAATATCAATAACCATTCAGCCACTACACACACTAGTAATTCAGCACCTCTTACCATACATGTACGAGCTCTTCTTGACAATTTTGACCACACACGCATCTCCACAACCTGTCAATTTTTCATTCCATCAACTGCTTCAGCACCCCCACGACTTGTATAGTATCAAAATTCATACATACATACCTCATTCTTCTAGAAAGCCATCATCTTGAAAACCCTGATTCAACAGAAACTGTTCTAGAGCTGTTGCCATAAAACAAACAGTCTACCATCGCTGGAGCAGAAACCCTAACCCTGCGTATAGAGCAAAATACGTTGAAGCCAGCAATATCTGTTGCCAAACAATAGATGCATCAAGAGAAGAATACAATGTCAAAACGAGAGCGAAACTCAAAGATTGTCTCAATGGATTGTTTTGGTCCCTTGCTAAAGCAGTCCGAAGTAATTTCATCAATAGCTCATTTCCACCACTCTTCAAAGCTGACGGCACTTCAGCAATAACATCGCAGGAGGAAGTGAATATTTCTGCAGATATGTTTGCAGTACAAAATGTACTCACCTGAACAACTCAAAACACGAAAAATATTTTTCGAAATATATCGACCCAAGTGGACTATGACACAAAAAGCGAGCAAATGAGGCTGAGGTCTCCTTGGGTCTCTAAATCAAGGACACAGGCGTTAACGTTTCTGATTGGCTGATTCTTCAGCCGGTCCAGACAAGCACGTTTTAGCCTCGATAATCAAAAACGCAGGGAAAATCATGTTTCATACCAAAAAGGCTTATGAACAGGGCCAAATACCATTGCTATTGCTACTGAGCCAGTTTGGGTAAAAAATATTCTGAAATAGCAAAGTTATATACAGGTACGAATTCATTTACCCATGGTCCGGTGATATCATCCTAGAATTCTATATTCCTAGTGAATGACCATGTATTCACTCTGAAAAGAACCAGGAAGTTACAAGGACTCATTCAAACAGGCACGCATTTCTTCATGGAATCCCTATAAAATAATCTGGAGAGCTAAGAAGAGCTACCTAGGAACTTCTAGTTCCTGTACATCATTAAACCATATCAAATGTGTTTTGAAGATGAACTGATTATGAATGAATCTGTTGAACGTACTTTATACTCATAATCGTTGGAAATTGCCAATAGGAACTCCTGCAGAACACATTACAAAATCATCAATTTCACGGAGTTTTGATGCGGAATTGTAATTAAAAACTGATCATGAACATATCTGCAAAGCACAGTTTATACTCATCTACTTCATTGGGTATTTCGGCATCAGGAAGTGATTATGAATGTAATTGCAAAATACATCACAAGCATATAAATCTCACGATACCTATTTCATAAGGATTTACTGTTCCACTATCCAACTAAATCATCATTTATCCTCACATATTCATGAATTTTTTGTACAATTCTATGTGACATTTTTGGCAGGAATGATTGACTGAAATTGAAATGTTATGAAGGTTTTTCGAAATTCAATGAACAATCAATATTAAATTGAAAATCTGTTCCATAATTTTGTTGTTTCAGCGCAAGAGGAAGTTACTACTTGGAAACAAATGATAAGGCACCTTTCGCAAAATCTACTAATAAGACTGTTTCCAAGTTTTGATATTGATCACAACTGGTACTTACCTATGACTATAGTGGATCTTCTTATAATAGTTACTGTACTTCTGAGTCCAGTAGAATTTTTTCGGTATTTCAAAAGTGAATATACAGGATTTCCCAGGTTCGATTGTTACAACTTTGAGACTGAGAACAACCAAGAACAATCGGTTTCAAACCAAGTGAACATGTCAGTAGTGATTGTACCAATATCTAGTAGGTAGTAACAGAAGTATGATTCATATACTGTTATTTTTTCGAAACTATCTTCAATTGTTCATTCCTCTTTCTGTTCCTCATTTGTTTCGATATCTTCCGAGGTTTTTGAGTAAATGAACTAAATATTGTAATAACCTCGGAATCTGAACAATTAATCTGAAAAATTAACGTGAATTCAATTAATATTTGATCTAGCATTCAGTGATGTGATTTCAAAATAGAGTTACGTAATTAGAGAAAAAGATTACTAAAAAGCAGTATTTGCAAAAATATTGTGATCTATTTTATCGATTCTCAAAGTTAGATCAGTTGAACCAGTAATACTCTGTATATCATGAAATGTAAGCTCCAGAATGCATTTTTGTTTGATGTAAATGTTAACCTTCGAAAACAATAATTATGATTCAAATCATGTTTATGTATCAACTTGTTGATTTACAGCACAAATAAATGAGTTAGTTATATTCTTACTTACTTTTATTCCTTTGTCTTCATCTCCCACTGATGTGATCAACAAACCGAAAGAGTGTTCAACGTAATAAGTTTCATATTGGGTTTCCCCCATAAATCAATTTGATCATGAGCAGTATTTCGATGAGTCATAAACACTAGCGAGGGTTCAAATTTGGCATCTTCAACTCTCTAAATAGCCCACCAAAGATTTCGCATTTTGAGAACAACCAAGTGAACACAAACTCGTTGATGAAACGTTGAATGACTGTTGGATTTGTGGGAATAACGTTATTGGCTGAAAACTTCAACGTTAAAATATACACAATTTTTATACGTTTTATTGCCAAAAATCCATAATTTTGTGAATGAATATTGGATGATACACAAAATCATCTCCACGACATCGAATGATCAACACATAAAAAATTGGAACATGTTTCCGACATATATTGGTCCATCATCAGTCTCAAACAGAAATTACATAAATGTCCTAGAATTAAAGTAGTTATTAGTACAATCAACGAGAGTTATGAGAATAAGAGTGCTTACATGAAAATAAAATAGGATATGTCACCAACTTCTACATTATAAAAAAATATAGTGAAGGGTTTTGAATGTGAAAATGAAAACAAACCCCCGGAAAACTTTTTTCATTTGAATTTGTGGTGGAAACCAACAAATGGCATTCAAAAGGGCACACATAGATGCGAAAATAGAAAAAACGTGTCCATCCTGCCTTGTACTAGCACACGACGGATATCACTTGACCTAGGCACACGTCACAAGTCAATAAGAAAGACAAGTGGCACGAGACAACATGGTTAACACTCAGACAGATCTTGAAATTTCACATGTTGGATCTGAAGGAAAATTATTGAATCTGTTACATATTTCTGGAATCAACATTTCACTGAATGAACAAACCCATTATAATAGCCTGACATTTTTAATTCATTACATATCACAAAATGATCAGAAATATCAGTTTTGTTTTCTCCTTCCTTGGTCTTCGATTTTTCCATTGAATTTTTGAGTTTTATTAACATAATTTCATTATTATATCCCACAAATATCTTCTTCTCTCCTTTTCCAGTACACTAATGGTTCATCTCTGCTGGGTGGATATTCACTACCATGTTGTCTCGTGCCACTTGTCTTTGGTATTGACTTGTGACGTGTAACACATGCCGTGGTTCTTTCCGTACTAGGTCAGGTGACATCCGTCGTGTGCTGGTACAAGGCAAGATGGACACGTTTTTGCTATTTTCAATGTCGCATCCATGTGTGCCCTTTTGGATGCCATTTGTTGGTTTCTACCACAAATTTGAATGAAAAAGGTTTTCCAGGGGTTTGTTAAGTTTCCCCATAGTTGGTTATCACATCTAGAACCTTTCATCATATTCTTTATAATGTAAAAGTTGGCGACATAACCTTTCAATCCCCGTGTAAGCACTCTTATTCGCACAACTCTTGTTGATTGTACTAATAACTACTTCAATTTTAGGACAATTATGTAATTTCTGATTTAGGGCTGATGATGGACATATATATGTCCGAAACATTGAAGAGGACCTTGTTTATCTTTCAGTATTTATTACTTGACTCCACTTTGAGAAACCATGGACATCTATACCATAATTCTGTGATCATCCACAACCACGATTGTACGTTGAAACAAAACGTTGATACTTTCAAGAATGATGGAAGTAAGATATGGTGCGCGTATTCGGCCATTATTACGTATTGAAAATTTCAGAAAAATCACTCGACCGCCTACTATGATTCTGATTCTGAACATCACAACGAGAGAGACGTTGATTCAACATTTTCTCGCTAGATGGTGATGTTGCTATTGCTGCTGTGACGAGTGGAAATAAAATGGCAAATGGCATTTTAGGTACGAGGAACATATTATGTAACAGTGGGATTAATCAACTCTGAATTCGAAAAATCTGCAGCAATTCAAAAAACTGACAGATGCCATAATTGTGCAATGTCGCCATCTATTAGAAGATCGACGGAACCATTGCTCTCGCTGTTCTCGAGAGGTCGAGTAAAATTTCTGAAACAAAAGCGCATCAGTAATCACACCATATCTTACTTGCATCATTCTTTCAAGCAATAACACGTCATTTTATCTCAATGACACGATACATCGACTACGTACGGAAGAATTATTGCTAGAAATAACCTGTATATAACTTCAATGAATAATAGATTCAAGATCTCTGAGGGTCCTGAGTTGGCAGAATAAAGGGGTCATATATATTATTTGCATCAGGTAAAGTAGAATAAACGATACCAAATGTAACGTCATTTCATCTGAATCAGTCTACCGGTTGATATCAGATCTGTTACTCACATTGGTGTTGAAAAATTAACGATACTCAAGATCCAAAATACCGTGATTGTGTTCACAGGTTCGGCTGCTGGATACCAGGACCAATCTCAGTTTCAATCTTCAATCATATATTCGTTGTTCATAATATTCCCGACAGGAATACTCATGCTTCAATCTAGAGGATTGATGATCAGCCGCCTCCCTATTTTTTATCTCTGCCTACTTTTCAATATATATGTCTCAATACTGGGTATTCAATGATTGAGACATTGTTATATCTAATAATCAACATTTTAGTTGTTCTATGCCCATCACACCACCAATGGAAGATTAATTGATACACTTCCAATTTTCTACCGCACTTGTAGTAACTTGAATAAAATAAAAGAGTATATGATACATTCTTGAATTATATCTTCATGCAACTATTTATATCTGCTGTAGATGTACTGATACTGTTGACTCAAATAACACAAATATAGCAAATAATGATAAAATCAGAGATGCAATTCCAACAGCGTTTATTTATGCATCATTACCCTACATCAGTGAAGATTCACCTAACATCAAAATTCTCAAAAAAATAGTTCTACTACTAGGATCATTGTTTTCTAAAGTCAAGGATAAGTCCGAATGTCCTTATCAAATAGAATCACATCTCACAGAAGATACTGTAGGTTGCATCTTGAACGTTGTGCCCTGGCTGAACATGTTGAACAAAATAATCATCAAATGGATTATCAGTCAGCAAAAATCTTTTCCGTCGACCTCGTATTAACGACTAAGTTTAATGTATATGAAATCGTTCATTAATGACCCCTATTAATGGACGATTTGTCTATTAATGCACGATTGTTTTATAGGCAACCAAACATACACCGCGTGCATTCATTGTTTATGCTATAACTTACGGAATCTGCATTTAAATCGAAAATATGGATTTCATCGAAGATTTTCCGTTAACGGGTTCGCCTTTCCAAGTTTCTGACATGATATTAATCCCTGTTTTCTAACACAAGGAATTTATTTCCTATGTTGATCATCTCGACAAATGTCAAATGTGTCTAATGTCAGTAACAAGGCTACTGGGTGATTCTTAGCAGTTTCCGGCTGAATGGAATCGCGAACCAAGTTTTCTTCATTGCATGGGAAATGAGAAATATAGTCGACGGAAAAATTTTGTAACCAACTTGTATATTAAAAGGCGATTAATGATCTCGAACATTAACGCGCTCGCTTTGCTCGCACGTTAAAATATCTCGATCATTAATCGCCCTCATTAATGCACTAGTTGGTTAAATAACTATAACAACTGAACACAACATCAAAAAACGAAGTCCTCTTGAAATGGCTTTCATTTCCCAAGAAAACGACTGCATTAATGAAAGAACTGACATCAACCATTCGAATGTCATCTATTCTCATTGACTACCATTGGATAGCAATCATCCACCATACAGGAATCAATAATATCTGTTTTAAAATCATTATTTTTTCACATGTCATTCCTGATTTTATCTTCTTTTGGGTCCTGCCTTCGATTTGAAAATTCTAATCATGTGGAGTGAGTAAGAGAAATGAAATCCTGGGAACATACCAAATAGTGTGAAATTTATTTCATCAGATGGATATAAAGATAAACCGACCGAAAATAAATATATAATATTTTATTATGATAGAATATTATTTTGTTATGAGAATGAATTATGTTGGAAATACTTCACTCAATGATTTGATACTCAATTCCCACGGATTGTTTCTTGAATACTATCTTGAATTCCAGCAGTTTTTTTCTATTCTGAGAATTGAAGCTAATTACTAAAGTTTGTGAAAGTATCGAGGAAACAACCAGTGAAAATATGAGTAACAAATGATCAAGAGAACATGGGACATTATCGTAAAAATATTGGTAACAGTTTCATTACAAAAGTAGTGAAAGTTTTGTATCAATATCTTCAACGAAAGGAACGTTGAAATGCCTTCGTTGGGTT